AAATTCTCCTCTCCCCCTGCCACATTTTAGCAGTGGAATCTCATTCTTCAGTCTGCATCATTATCCAGACACTTAAGCTCCTGTCTCAGTTAAATGCATCATTGACACTAGAGAAAATAAATGTACCTAATAAAAATAAAATTAAAATATAAATGTAAGTATGTGCTGAATTTCACATTTGGCTCACCAATGTTTTCAGTTCATTTACAGGAAGCAGGGAATACAAAAACACGACTTCTTTAGTATGCTTTAATATTAAAAGCATGAAGTCTAGGGCAATTATTCACTAGAGTGATATTTGTGTGAATGCAACCGCCTATCTAGTGATCACAGTGCCAAAGTCTCTTCTTCTTTTCTTCTAGAACGACAATGTTTGAATTTCATACATTGTTACCAGAACAGGACAACCCCTAACACTGAAAAGAAGCTGATTGTACTGGTGTTTGTCCATTTCACTTCACCAAGACTTGAACAAAAAATTCTCTATACAGATTCCTTGATACAGTAGAGTTACCAAAAAAAGAAAGAAAGAAGGTAAGGCCTGTGGATGATAAAATAAAGATACCCTTGAAAGTTAAAATTTTAAAGCTATTCTTCCTAAATGCAGAATTTCTGAATTTTTTTTTTTTTTTTAAAAAACGTGTTTTGGCAGCACCAGCGGTAAAATGAGATGTTGGTAAAGGCTCGCTGTCAGCGACCCTTTCAAAATCAAGTATACAAGTATTAGAAGTGTCCATGTTAAAACATTACACTAGTTTTGTGTCCTCCACTCACCACACATGCACCCAACAAGCAGAATCACTCCACAAATATACTTTCAGTGGCCATCAAGCTCAACAATCAAGCTAGGCCAACTGAAAAGCTTTTTAAACACCCAGCTCCAAGACAGAATACTACTGACCCAAGTCAGCAACCCAAGTTTCTTAATGCAGTAATAACAAGGGTGAATTAAGAACTCAAAATTCTCACTCAGTCAGAATGCTGAGAACACCACTATCCAGCAAGAGGGAATAGTCAGTACATATCAGATTTTCAGTCCTGTGACTACTGCAAGTTGCATAAACATTCCTGGAATCTGGTTCCAGAGCCCAGGTATCTCTTCTCCTAGGAGATACCTTTACCCAAAATACAAAATTAGTCTCTCCACTGCCCCCTACATTTAATTCCAGTAGCCTTTGTTTCTCTCTCTGCATCCAGTGACAGAAATGCTTTACAGCAGTAAAGCTGGTATCCCTTCCTTGGAGAGGAAAGATCAAATTTGAATCCTTCTTGTTTTCCAGAGTCTGAAAAACTAAATCACTTAGTTCCCAAGTGAGTTTTTAAATGATCACTAGGTTGCTATATCAAAAAGATTCTGTCCTTAAGCCACATGTGTAAATGGAAGTGCCTGTGGGAGCAGTGCTTTGTACTTAAAAAGTGTAAGTCAATGCTATTAGAATCCATTGGGCGGAACCATATGGATACTTTTGTACCAGGTTCCCTGATCTGTGAATCCCAAAGTGATTCAGACAAAAGCAGGTACTACAATGACAGAGAGAAGTTACACCAGACATATTTAGTAACCTAAAGCTCTGGTGCTTCTTAAGTATATTAGGAAAAGTAGAGACAGACAAACTTGCTCAACATGGTTTCTGGACTTTCTGTATAAAGTTTTTATGCTATAATTTGATAGAGACACCTACATCAACATCTGCTATTTTGCATGGAATGCTGTAATTGAACACAAAACACAAAGACTGCAGTGTAGACTACTACTAAAATTTAAAAAAAATCCACAACACATCAACTATGTACCCTTCCCAAAACCCAACTCCCCCAAACCACTTCCAATATAATGAAAGTGCCAAAGATGTAGAGACATAGTATAATCTCAATGGTAGCCAAAGTGAATTTCAATATAAATTTGTAAGTATCTGTCCTTTATGGTCAGTATTAAAAAACAGATCTTCATGAAGGTAAGTGCAGTTACAGAAAGTACTCACTGAATGTAATTCTGGAAAAATCTCCTCCATGGCAAAGTACTCCATGAAAGTGGCAAATCCCTCATTCAGCCAGAGATCGTTCCACCATTCCATAGTTACTAGATTGCCAAACCACTACAAAAGGACCAAACCAGTCATTCATGTTCAGAAATAAAATCAAATGAGTACAGTAACACCCTATCCATCCTCAGCTTTATTTTCTGGAAATATCAGTTTCAGTCAAAACCATGGTAATACTTTTGCATGAACAACTCCCCAAGTACATCATGACAGAGTTGCACTCTGCCTGTTGTCCTGGAGAATATATACCTGCAGGTATTCTAAACAGATACAATGCACAATCCAGTCATGCTGAGGGGTGGGGTGAATTTAAGGGCAGAGTTGCATTTAAAAAAAACAACAAAAAGAAAATAAAAAAAACCAACCACATTTAAACAATTACTTCCCCAGTCTAGTACCTGATGGGCAAGCTCATGTGCTATCACTGCAGTGATTAACTTCTTATCCCTTGCTGACGAAGTATTACTGTCAAACAGGAGTGTTGTTTCTCGGAATGTGATCAAACCCCAGTTTTCCATTGCACCAGACTGAAAATCAGGAATTGCAACCAGATCTGGAAAAGATTTGAAAGAAGCTTTGGAAAACTGCTAGGTAAAGCAATTTTGTATTTCAAGTCCACGTATGCTACTACATAACCCCTAAAAACATCACTACTTAAATCCCGTGGTGTGGTCACGTGCTCACATCTCAAGCATAGAAGTTCCACAGATTCATAGCCAACTTTCTCTAGCGGTAGTCTTACACAACTTAAAGCACGACATAGACAATGCCTATAGATCTTGCATTCACACAAGTAACGAGCAAATGGGACTCCCCATTCTGAAAGTAGTGTCTTAGAAGACTGCATTTCATTATTTTTCTAGTCAAACTAATGCATGCAGAGAAGTCGGGCTGCAGATATTGAAGTGCTGAACATGGTTCACAGACTGAGAATTCTGTCTTCCTACCAAGGCACATCATGTTAAATTTACTCCAAATTATTTCTTTCATGTTATGTACAAGTATAAGCAATCTGATGTCCGAAGTTTACAAAAATTTTCTAGCTTGGGAATCACAAAATAGTCATACTCAGTCAAACATTTAATAATTTTTTTAAAATAATTTTGGGGAAACCTTGTGTCACAGATGTTTTACGCTATCTTTTCTAGTACACCTTTTC